GTGTGGTCTGGTTGCTGTTTCTGAGAGGATCGTTGCAAATTGTCTTTGCTCGAATCGTAATGAGATATCTCTTTGGATGCAGACGTGCTTGTGTACGGACGATTCGTTGTGCGTTCAGTTGAAGTGGAATCGTGCGATTTCATTTCATAGTGTGATCGACGATACTCTTGCATAGCCAATGGTGCTGATGGCCTTCAACGAAAAGTTTTTGTTACTTAACATGGAACCAAATTTTCCACTCGCTAAAACTAATCATGAGGCAGTCACAGTGATTCTCAACTCAAATCTTTACTTAGCTCAACTGGGCGAGGTGAGGCTCAGCAAAATCCACTCAACGAATATGTCTAGCTCACTCTGGAATTGATCCCTTGCAGAGGATTAATGATCTATTTCGATTACTGATGACCTGACCGTTGATTCATGCACTTTATTTGAAACAATTGAAAATGTACCCATGTTTCGATTGTGAACTATCGATGAGCTTCGATGACTGCGTAATGTTTTTGGACGCATCATGGTGTTCATCTGTGATGGCTGCTGGTGTTGAAGTGTATGTCTGGTAGGTGGATTGTGAGACGGGAACACCGTTTTGAGCTTCGTATTCATGATGTTTTACACTTGAGAAGGAACTTGTCTCGGGTGGTTGTTGACCGAGTTGTTTAGTGGTTTGTTGACGCTGTTCATTGTGACGGTAGTATGAGGATGCGGTTTGCTGAGTAGAGCCACCAGACGGTGCGTGATATGGTTGAATTTGATAGAGATTTGATGATGGCACTGCACCACTGTCTTGGACTGGAATCGATGACTGCTTCAGACGCGTTGTTTCGTCGTGATGGTCAGTCGAAGATTTAGTTTGTGAATACTGTTGTTGAGCTTTGTAACTGCTCGTTTTTGTATAGCCACCAGCCATGTCTTCGCCACTGAATCGATGAACGGTTGGCTGATAATCGGAGGATGCCTGCCGATCCGCTTCACTTTGCCATACGTTATGCGTTTGTGATGCTTTACCATACCAATTTGGTGGTTGTTGGACAGGAACCTGAACGAACGAATTGCAGATTATGTGGCAGAATAACAAGCGTGTCAATTGAGCCTAGTAGGGATTTCATTAGACGCTGTCTTTTGAGGGCACTTTTTTTTGCGCAACATTCATCTCATTATGAGGAGAACGCAAAAACTGCATCATATATTGCCTTCAACAGCCTCCTTCAACTGCAAATCAAATCAATCGTCCGTGATGGGTTTTCTAGAGTAAATCTACTTCAGGAACGCTCACCTTACTCGAGGCTGGCATTTGAACACGGGCGTCAGTGTCTCTAGCTTGTGCCTCCCATGCGCTCTTTCTCTCTTGCACCGTTCTCGACCAGTTCGGTTCTTGTGTGAAGGTCTGTGAATGTATGTCTGTGATTTGCGATTACTTCACTTGAATACAAATTCTCAAATCTTAATTTTTCATTCCTTCCGTTCAAACATTTTTTCTTCAAACTTCAAGTTGGCTTCCGCAAGAATTTTGTCCTCATCCTTGCTCGACAAAGAGCGCCATTTCAACGGCGGATAAAATTCCCTGATTTNATGTTGAACAACTTCAAGATCTGAATGCAGATATGCGATAGCAACGAATCGACCGATTCAGCATTGCTATCCGTAAGCGAATCATTGAATAAACAGTGACTCACTTATTCGAGAATCATGAGCAAGTGTCCAATCATAACGTAGACACTCGCTCTACAATGGCGATTAAGAATACAAAACTGTCATTAACGACAGTAAAGGGTCAGAAACTAACCATGAAAGTGACCTAAAGTTATGGCTGAAGGGAATAGCAGATTCATGCAAAAGTGTGTGAAAGTGAAGGAAATAAGTCAGTAGCTGAGTGTTTGAAAAGTGTTCTCAACAGGTTTCATAGCGATAAGTATCGCATGCAAAGTTGCTGTTTAATTGCATGAAGGATAATCGTTCAGAATAAGGAATGCTCATCTCGAAAGGTTTGTTAATTCTTTCTTTCCCATGAGAAACTATTCAAGACTTCAACCGTTTTTATAAAACTGCGCCTTCTTCATTTGTTTGCATAAAATTACTAGGAAATCGCCTGGTCGATGAAGCAATCCACAGCATAAGCGTGAGGTTATTGATAGTATAAGAGAAAGGAATGACTGAAAAGGGATTGTGGGTGTCCAAGGTCCGCAAGAAATGAATGAAGGAAGCGAGTGAGCAAGCAAGGATAAAGCGCGGACCTGGGAACGGGTCATGCGCGGGTCGGACATGTTGATCCAGCGGGTTTGCTTGTCCACCGAGCGTTCACGCCAAGCTGGAGTCACCGACCTGCGTCTCGGTATTAAGGCTGTATTGTTCAACAGAGTCTCAATGGTCACCTCTTTCTCACTATCAGCCCATTCGTTGCGTTCCATTGCAGCCGTGCTGTGCGATCGTATTTTCGACTCATACTTATCCGCACCACTCACATGTGCACCTCGTCCTCCACTCGTATGCTCCTGTCCGCCTAGATCTTTCTTCGCTGACAAACTGAATACAGGTGCTCGCGGTGGTTCAACGTAACGATACACACTTTGATGATCCTTCTTGAAACCAGTGGTCGGTCCAAACGCAGTACCAAACGAGTATCGTTCATCACCGTGTTCTTCGGTGGCGATCTTTTGATTCGAAATTGTATCGCCAATGAGAACGTCTGCATTAACACTGTCCACATTCGGTGCACTCTCAATGTTCATCTCATCGTGCCTCAATGGCGATTTCTCGAATCGTGGATGCAGTCGACGGTGCTCAGGACCATAACCATGGTAAGGTCCTTGAACACTGACACCGCCTTTGCGAAAGTCCATTCCTCCCATTTCATAGCCAGGTGTCAATCGTCGTTCGTCGCGTCCCCGGCCCCTTGACGGTAACGAATTGTAACCGTAGTAATGCTGATAGCTGCCGTCTTGAGCCATTCCTGAATGATCTATGAAGTCGAGGCCACCAAATTCATAGCCTTTTTGCGGTGAGCGCTCTGAACGCATTGACTGCTGGGAGATTGGTCTGAAAGAAATTATTCATTTGGTGATCACAGAATGTGATTTTTAAAATTCTACATGAATACATTCGTAAATCACTGAACTCAGTCAGTGAGATATGATTTATTCTGAGTTAACTGCAACAAAAATACTGAGTATTTGAAAGACTCAGTTCTGTAATTAATCACTTGAAGCTGAGAAGAACAAATGAATAAATGAAGTGAACATCTGATTTACAGGAAAATGAATAAGTGATATTTGTTCTATTCATATAGTGATCTGAATGTTTGACGAACAAGTTATTGTATTAACGACTGAAACAACGCTGAGTTATTTTTACATAATAGCTCCAGTTGAAAAGGTGCTCATTGAAAGTGATGAGTGAATAGCATGATAATGAGACCTCTGCGGCTGGTATGTTGGTGTATGAACGGGCCGATTGGGTGTGGCTTCATGATACGAGTAAGCTGATGGTGTTGTGGAACGTGCACGATCGGCTCGACGTCGTGCGCTCTCTGTCCATGACGGTTCCTGAACTCAACTATTCATGAGTACCACTCGAGTCACAAATCATGCATTCGANGTCGTGCGCTCTCTGTCCATGACGGTTCCTGAACTCAACTATTCATGAGTACCACTCGAGTCACAAATCATGCATTCGATAGCTATGCAAAGAAGAGTTAACAACAAAAAAAAAATTGATTCAGCTAAAAGCATAGAGTTGTACCGTTGAGGGTGGGATATGTGGTGCTTCTGCTTGAGCGACCTTCTCGAAGAAATTTCTGCCGAATTCACTATTATCACCTTCATTGATCAACCGTAAAGTTTCTGATTGTTTCGGATCAAAATGCTTATCATTTGCACCGATTGGCGCGTCTGGACCAGCACCCAGCTGTGACCTGTACTCCTGTTCGGCTGTTTCCCTAAAGCAACCATAATAGTTTCGCACTTATTTACTGGAAAGTTAAGTCAACATCTAATTCAAATTTTCCAATTAACTGATCATCGAGGCAAGACGAAGTTTTCGCATTCGAAAATAAACATTTTTCATATTCTTTAGTTTTTACCGCTACGAAAGTAGAACTAGCGATGGAACTCTCGATTTGTTAACAATTTTATCATTGATTTCAAAGAGACAACGGTTTTTTTCCCAGAGATCTTTTCGGAATTCGAGGAAAGAAGCGTTTAGAAGTGCTTAAAGGAATTCGGATTTTAGAGAGGCAAATAAGAATCCGTACGTTGTTTCATTTGAAGTGCCACTTCAGATATTACAAATGCGCACCAAGAAGAGATGCAAAACTCTGTTGAGTTGTGTGTGATGGCGTTTTGCATCGAGCAATTCGCACGATAATTACGAAAATTTTGTGCAATTATTTTTGGAACATTCGAAAATTGTTCCGATGATGATTCAAGTAAACGCTATAAATAATCGATACTTTCACTAATATATGCAACTGTTGAAATAAAACGTTCTCCTCACTGTTCTCATCCAATTGGTGTTATTCAGGGCCGGATATCGACGTACATTTCATTTAGACTTAGGCTTCGGCTAAGTCTCATAGTCTGAGACTTATATATATGTTTGCTTAATAGGTACCTCAGCCAG